AAGCATATGTTTTCCCAATGAGTTGATTCAGTAAGAAATCGAAGGAAAAATCATGTTTTAATAAAATACTTCTAAATTCCAATATGACTTTTTCAAATTCCAAGGGAAAGCTCCAGTTCTTTAGAGTTTTGATTCGAGGAAGATGATGGTTGTTGTGTGTGTCTTTTTGTTAATTGCGTAGTTAGTAGTGCATACACGTTATATGATTAGGAAAACTGAAAAGACAGTATATGAAATGGAAGTTGTTATCAATCGTATGCAATGAATACGTTACATGAGTATACATGGGTATCTGATATTGCACTTGCTTTTTCTTTGTTGAGTACCGTCTACATTCCAACGGTTGTTTCGAGACCTCAATTGTGAGACTTCCGTCATCTAAATCCAAGGGAGATACTTCCTTCAGACTACTATGGATTTCTCTTTTTCCTTCTTAGTCCATTATTCCGACTCAGACATTCTAAACTTATGTTTTTTTATTATTTGGGCTTCCATCCTCTATCCTAGACTGTTAGATGTTTTGATACTATGACTTTCAAGTTTTAGGTTACGCAATCGTTTTAATTGACTAGTTAAATTTATAGAAGCTCAAACTTATAATTGTTTTAAGACTATTTTATTAGCGTTTTATTCCATGGTTTGGTTTTAAAATGGTTGATGGGTTAGTCTTGGGTTGGTAGCTGGTTCTCCCACTAAAGGGTTAGTGTGGGTGTCACTCACGACAGATCAAGGTCGTGACAAATTTGTTGTTTAACTTTCGAATTCAAACACCGTCAGATAAATTGGAACAAAATGAGGAAGTTAGGTATGAGGCTATGAGCACATATATATAAGTTGAGTTAATGGTGTTCCTTATCATACGTGCTTCAAATATTCATCTCTCTTTATTACCAAAAATGGATGAACCAATCTTTTCCACTTCATCATCACCATCAAGCCTTCAACATAGGCTTCAATATATTTTCAAGAATCAAACAAATTATTATTCTGATTGGGCGTATGCTATTTTCTGGCAATCGTCGAATAATAGTCTGTCTTTAACATGGGGTGATGGCCATTTAAACATGAAGACGACGAATAATAAAGACGTCGAATGGTTCTACTTGATGTCTTTAGCTCAGTGTTTTTCTGTTGGTGAAGGAGTTGTTGGAAAATGTTTTAGTAGTGATTCTTTTGTGTGGCTAACAGGGGATCAACAATTTGAGTTTTGTCATTGTGAAAGGGCTAAAGAAGCTCATTATGTTCATGGGATTAATACTTTTGTATATATTCCAATTTCTAGTGGTGTGCTCGAACTAGGCTCGAGCACAGTGATTAAACAGGACTTGAACTTGGTTCAACAAGTCAAGTCTCTGTTCTTTGGTTATGAAACAATTGGTCCAATTGATGATTTTGGTCTTTTCAATTGTTTGGAACAATATGGTCAAGAAGCAAAGAAAGGTGAAATAGTAGTAGGTACAACACCACAGGAAAACAAAGTTGGATTTAAGGTGAGTTGCTTCAACTGAATTTATTGCTTTCGCGTTGATATATGTTACATCTATACTATGGATATTCTAACATTTACTTGGACAAGTGAGTCAGTTCAAGTAGTTGAACATATCCACCAAAAGAGAGAGGATTTGAATCACGCTGAAGGATAAGTAAGAATGTTAAGAAGATACTTTTCTCCGTCTCAATCTATATAATGTAATTTGACTGACCATGAAATTCAGAAAAGAAAAGACTTTTTTTAGTTCACATTTCTTTCATTTAATTGAATGTATGTGCATCATTCTTGCTTTTTCTAAAAAAAATCTCAAGTTAGTGGCCATTTGGGCATTAGAATTGAGGAATTTGAAAAAAAAAAAAAATTCTTTCTATTTGAATTTGTTTGTCTCAAAAATAATGATTATTTCTTTTTTAGCAAATTTTTTAAATTTCAACTCAGTTTTTACCTAACATGTTGAAAGTCAAATGAAATACGTAATATTTATGAAAAAAGTGAAAAGTACTTATTTTGCCTGTACAGAGCAAGACTTCCAAGAAAAGGGGGAGAAAGGGGAGAGAGATTTGCGAGACACAAGGAAACCACGTAGAGGCGGAGAGGCAGAGAAGAGAGAAACTTAACTCTCGATTCTATGCGTTGCGCGAGGTGGTTCCAAACGTAACGAAAATGGACAAAGCCACATTGCTATCAGATGCTGTAACATATATTACCCAACTGAAAGCTAAAGTGGATGAATTAGAATCAAAACTTCATAACAATTACTATTATTCAGTGATGGAGAAGAAACACAAAATGGAAAATGATAATGTAGTGGACAACCAAAGCTCTACCACTTCTTGGGATCATGTAAGGAGCGCTTTCTTCTCGTAAAACATATTCACTCTGTTCATTTTTATTTGTCAATTATTTCAAAGATTGAGTTTCACTTTTAATAAATCAACAAAAGACATTTTTTAAATTATGTGTTCAGTCAAATAACATCACCTAAATTGAGATGGAATGAGTATTTCTAAAAGGATTGTTTTGATCACTTCTCCAAGAAGGCTTATATTTATAGAGTTGGAAAAAAAGAATTAATTCAAAATAGTCATCTTAATTATTCCATGAAAAGACATGTTATATATGTTAATTTAAATTTATTAAGTTTTAATAAAAACAAAAATATCTAAAAATAAATTTAAATTAAAAATAGAATTTTGAATTTTATAATTTTAAATAAGTCACAATATGCATGTGTCTCTTTTAATTTCTCCATTATTATTATCACAACTTCTTCAGTATTCCCTTTTCATATTTACTTTAAAATAGTTTATTTGAGCCAAACATCTATTGGACACTTCTAGATCTACCTTCACAAGATAGGATAATGTCTTTGTGCGCACCGCCTTTTCTGAATTCCTATTTATGAAATTACACTGATATGTTATTGTTGCCAAGATATGCATGTGAGAAAACTATAATAATAAAGCCTCCAAACTATTTTTTTTTTACTTCCAATGTGACACAATCCCATTTCAAATGTTACAAAGTATCTCACATTATCTTGTGCAACATTTGAACCAAACAACCAGACTATGGAAATTGAAGTGAAGATGGTAGGTCAAGATGCCATGCTTAGGGTTCAATCAGAAAATATGAATTATCCATCAACAAGATTGATGTGTGCTCTTCAAGAAGTTGAACTACATGTCTACCATGCCAACATCTCAAGTGTCAATGATCTTATGCTACATGACATACTTGTTAAAGTTCCTCAAGGATTGGAGACTGAAGATGAAGTAAAAAATGCTCTACTTAGAAGCTTAAAGCAAATAACATGTTGATAATTACCTATTGGAGACTGAAGATGAAGTATGATCTTCAATCTCTTCTTTTCATTTTTAATCTTACCGTCAGATCTCTCAATAACAGTATCGTATGCTTTGAAATTTTTTTGGATTGAGAATCGACTTCGGATTTACTCATTGAATAGCTAATGAGTAGGAAAAGAAGTGTAGGGTTTTTGCTTACACGTCTAAGAAAGGGGTGTGATTGGTCGGTTTAGTGTATTATCGATTTGATTTATTTGATTTTTAAATACATCAAATCAATAAGCTATTTTTATCTATCTTTAATGGTTCGGTTTGGATTTAACTAACAAGTAAATGCTCATAAATTAAATATATAACTCTCTAACAATTTGGCGTGACAAGTCAATAATATAACTTTATAGAATGCTCATGAAATAGAACCAATAGTAATTAACATGAAAAGATCTATAAATGTGCAACACAAATTAAAGAATTTGTTTCTTGTGAACTCAAAATTACTATGAAGTGTGTATTGAAGGTTAAAAGACAAAGAAAATAACTACTAAGGTTCTGATATTAATATTTAATATTTATATAGGGAAAAATAGAAAATTACTATAGTCTTAATGATTATCAGTTTACTCAAAAAAATATTAAAAAATTAAAATCGAATCGATAATCCTATAATTTTCTTTTTTTAGAAAAGCACTAAAACTTGTTAACCCAATAGCAACAAATCATTCAAGAGTATACTCTCTCTTCTTTCTTTTAAATTTTTTAATGTTATAAAATAATATAGAATTATTTAAATTTAAAAACCATTTTTCCCTTAATAAGATCTTATACATCTCGAATT